TCAGCCTGTAATCCCGCGCCTTTGGGAGGCTGAGGTGAGTGGATTGCCTGAGCCCGCGGGTTCGAGACCCGCCTGGGCAGCGAGACCTCATCTCTACAATAAATAAATTTTTAAAAATTAGCCAGGTGTGGTGGTGCACACTTGTGGTTCCAGCTACTTGGAAGGCTGAGGCAGAAGGATCGCCGGAGCCCAGCAGGTCGAGGTTGCGGTGGCCAGGAGCGGCCACTGCACTCCAGTCTGGGCGACAGAGTGAGACTCCAACTCAAAAATCAAACAAACAAAAAAAAAAGTTCAATTTTTAAAACCAAATGTTCACTAGATTAAATTGACAGTAGATTGGAGATGGCAGAATAGTCATTAAACTTGAAATTAGAGCATTAGAAATTATCCAATCTGAAAAACAGAAAATAATTTGAGGAAAAGTAAGCAGAGCTTTGGAGATCTGTGGGCCATTAACAAGTAATTTAACATATGTGTAAACTATAGTTCCTGAGAAGAGGAAAAACTGGGTCCAAAAAAAATTGAGTAATGGATGAAAATGTCCCAAATTTTGTGAAGGACATCAACCTACAGATTACAAATGCTCAACAAACCCCAAGTAAGAAACCACCTCCAAGCATATAATAGTCAAACTACTAAAATACAAAGAAGCCAGGTGCGGTGGCTCATCGCCTGCAGCTCCAGCACTTTGGGAGGCCGAGACAGGAGAAGCACTTGAGCCCAAGAGTTCAAGATCAGCCTGGGCAACACAGCGAGACCTCATCTCTACAAAAAAAAAAAAAAAAAAAAAAAATCAAAAAATGAGCCAGGCATAGGGGTGTACACCTGTAGTCCCAGTTACTCCTGAATCTCTTCAGTTCAGGAGTTTGAGGCTGCAGTGAGCTGTGATTATGCCACTGCACTCCAGTCTGGACAACGGAGTGAGACCTCGACACAAAAATAAAAAAAGAGAAAATCTTAAATCAACCAGAGAAAAATAACACATTATATACAAAATAAGAACAACACCATTAAGAAAATAAAAAGGCTAGGCTCGGTGGTTCAGCCTGTAATTCCAGCACTTTGGGAGGCCGAGGCATGTGGACTGCCTGAGTCCACGGGTTCGAGACCAGCCTGGGCAACTTGGTGAGACCTCATCTCTACAATGAAACAAAATTAGCTGGGCATGGTAGTGCACACCTGTAGTTCTGGCTACTTGGAAGGCTGAGGCAAAAGTATCGCCAGAACCTAGCGGGTCAATGCTGGTGTGACCATAAGTGTGCCAATGAACTCCAGCCTGGGCAACAGAGTGAGACTCCAAATCAAAAAAAGAAAAGAAAAAAGCAAGCAAGACTGGGAGGAAATATTCACAAAATATTTATCTGTCAAAGGCACTTATATCCAGACTCAAAAACAAAACAAAACAATTTGATAATAAAAAAGAAATAACCCAATTTAAAAAATGAATAAAAGATCTGAACACTTCAAAAGGAAGATTTACAATGTCAATAAGTATAAAGTGTTCATTTATTATCAGTGATATGAAAATTAATACTACAGTGAGATGTCACTTCACACATTCTAGAATGGCTAAAATTAAAGAGAAACAACCCTAAGTATAGAGCAACCAGAATTCTCACACATCGCTGGAGGGAATACAAACTGGTACAACCACTTTGGAAGGAGCTGAGAGTAACCATACACACACAGCTGCTCCAGTCCTAGATATTTAGCCAAAAGAAATAAAAGACTTATGAACAAATGCTCAAAAGCAGCTTTATTCACAACAGTCAAAACTAAGACAGACCCAAAGCTCACAAACAAAAGATTAAATAAACAACTGTGATATAGTCTTACATAGAATACTACTCCATAATAACAAGAAATGAACTATGAAACCAGGCACAATATGGATATATCTTACAGACAGTATAGTGGGGAAAAGAAGCTGGACACAAATGAGTACATACATTATGATTCCATATATATTAAGTTTAAGATAAAGAGAAAACTAAGATGAAAAAAACCAGAACAGGCTGGGTGTGGTGGCTCACACCTGTAACCTCAGCACTTTAGGAGGTAGAGACAAGAGGGTTACCTGAGCCCAGGGATTCGAGACCAGCCTGGGCAACTTGGCAAGATCTCATCTCTACAATAAAAATCAGAAAATTAGCCGGGAATGTTAGCATGCACCTGTAGTCCTAGCTACTTGGAAGACTGAGGCAGAAGGATCGCCTGAGCCCAGCAGGTCGAGGCTGCAGTGGCCGTGATTGTTCCACTGCACTCCAGTCTGAGCAACAGAGTGAGACTCTGACTCAGGAAAAAAAAAAAAAATCAGACAAGTAAAAAAAAATATGATGAGCTGGGCGTGGTGACTCATGCCTATAATCCCAGCACTTTGGAAGGTGAAAATGAGAGGACTGCTGAGCCCAGGGGTTTGAGACTAGCCTGGGCAACTTGGTAAGACCTTGCTTATACAATAAATAAAAAAAATTAGCCTGACGTGATAGCAAGTGCCTGTGGTTCCAGTTACTTGGAAGGCTGAGGCAGAAGGATCGCCTGAGTCCAGCAGGTTGTGCGGTGGCTGTGTGCATGACACTGCACTCCACCCTGAGTGAAAGACTCCTAACTCAAAAAAAAAAAAAAGGATTAAAAATATATATAATATGATGTGTCAAACATACATAGAGTCAAACACGAGAGCTTCAAGCTAAGCAGGAAAACACTTGTAAAGTGAGATTCGATACTTTCTAGATATCAAATTTTACTTTTTTTTTTTTTCAGTCAAAATCTCATTCTGTCATCCAGGCTGGAGTACAGTGGTACACTTACGGCCACCACAGCCTCGACCTGCTGGGCTCAGATGATCCTTCTGCCTCAGCCTTCCAAGTAGCTGGAATTACAGGTGTGTGCCATTATGCCCAGCTAACTTTTTTAATTACTATAGAGATGAGGTATCACCAAGTTGCCCAGGCTGGTCTTAAACCCTTGGACTCAGGCAATCCTCTCAACTCCACCTCCCAAAGTCCTGGGATTTCAGGCGTGAGCCACTGTGCCTGGCTAAAGTTTACTTTTATAAAACATTTTAAAATAAAAACTTCTTGATAGCAGCAAATGTATCTAACTTGAACTGTTTTGGAGAGATCTCAACCCAGGTAAAATGTATACAAAGTTTCTAGAGCAATGACGATAAAGGCATAGGCACTGGCTAATGACAATAAAACTTCTTTAAAAATGGTTCTGAGCCGGGCTCGGTGGCTCAGCCTGTAACCCCGCACCTGTGGGAGGCTGAGGTGAGTGGATTGCCTGAGCCCGCAGGTTCGAGACCCGCCTGGGCAGCGAGACCTCATCACTACAATAAATCAAAAAATCAGCCGGGCGTGGTAGCGCGCGCCGGTAATTCCGGCTACTCGGAAGGCTGAGGCGGAAGGATCGCCGGAGCCCAGCAGGTTGAGGCTGCGGTGGCCGGGAGCGGCCACTGCACTCCGGTCTGGGCGACAGAGTGAGACTCCAACTCAAAAAAAAAATGGTTCTGATTTCAAATAAAAGAGCAAGAGAATATGGATGTCAGAAAAGGACATAAGATGAATAATGTGAATACAATTTCAGTGTGAATAATCGTAACCTAGATTAAAATGTAGGATTAATAATATTAAGGATATTGAATATCCTATTGATACAATGTTGGCCTTACAGTCACACATTGCTTAATGACAGGATATGTTCTGAAAAATTTGTTGTTAGGTGATTTCATTGTTATGCAAACATCACAGAGTGTACTTACACAAACATATGTAGATGGTATAGCCTACTACACACCTAGGCTATAGGGCATGGCCTATTTCTCCTATGCTAGAAACTTGTATTGCTATGCTGAATACTGCAGGCAATTATCATACAATGCTAAGTATTTGTATATGTAAACATAGAAAAGGTACAGTAAAGATATGGTTTAGGGAACACTTATTCTATTTTATGGAATGAAGTGCTGCTCAATTCTAGAACTGCAAATAAAGTCAATTTTAAAAGAGTGTGTATATGTATGTGTGTATATATGTATATTCACACACACCATTTAATGGATAAAAAAAATGGTACATGTGTACAGGGCATTTACCATGAATGGAGCTTGGAGGACTGGAAGTTGCTCCGGGTGAAATCACTGAGTGGTAAGTGAATGTGAAGATTTAGGACGTTACTGTATGCTATGACTTTATAAACATTGTAACTTAAGCTACACCAAATTAATTAATCTTAGTAACTTTTTTACTTTATAAATTTTTTTTTTTATTTTTTACTCTATAGGTAATAAAGCTTATTTTAAAACATAAACACATTGTACACCTATACAAAAATATTTTCTCCATTCTTATTCTATAAGCTTTTTCCCACTTTTAGATTTTTTCACTTTTTTTATTTTTAAAACTTTTTTGTTAAAAATGACACAGACACATACAATAGTATAAGCCTATACAGGGTCGGGATTATAAGGATATCACAAGGTGACAGGAATTTTTCAGCTTATACTCTTATGGAACCACCACTGTACATATAGTCCATCAACAACCTACACATCATGCAGCACATGAGTACATTTTAAACTTGGGGTTTTTACTTTGCTGCTCATTTTTTATTCTGGCTACAGTAACTGCCCTATGCTAATTTTCTCTTAATGAAATACCTTTATTTGGGGAAAACATAATGAAAGAAATTCCAAGCCGGCTCGGTGGCTCAGCCTATAACCCCGCGCCTTTGGGAGGCTGAGGTGAGTGGACTGCCTGAGCCCGTGGGTTCGAGGCCCGTCTGGGCAACTTGGCGAGACCTCATCTCTACAATAAATCAAAAACTAGCTGGGCATGGTAGCGAACGCCTGTAGTTCCAGCTACTTGGAAGGCTGAGACGGAAGGATCGCTGGAGCCCAGCAGGTCAAGGCTGCGGTGGCCGGGAGCGGCCACTGCACTACAGTCTGGGTGACAGAGTGAGACTCCAACTCAAAAAAAAGAAATTCCAGCAGTCATTACCTTGTCCTGAAGTGTTTGCTGCCATTTTCCTATTGTGTCCAGTGGCAACTGGTCAACACTTCACAATCACCTGTAAAAAAAAAAAAATGCATACATACATATAAAATGCACCATACTTTATTTTCTATTTCTCTATTCTTTGAGTCAGGGTCTCACTCTGTTGCCTGGGCTGGATTGTAGTGGCATGATCACAGCTCACAATAGCCTTGACCTCTAGGGTTCAAGCCATCCTTCTGCCTCAGCCTTCCAAGTAGCTGGGACTACAGGTATGTGCTACCATGCTTGGCTGATTTTTCATTTTTGGTGGAGACAAGATCTTGCCATGTTGCCTAGGCTAGTAGTCTAAGAACTCCTGGGCTCAAACAATCCTCCTACCTTGATCTCCCAAAGTGCTAGAGTTTCAGGCATGAGCCACCATACCTGGCCAATGCACCATACTTTAATCACAAACCAAAAGTTGTCAGGAAGAGCTAGTCTCTACAATGAAATAGTCACAGTTTCTTAATCTCTTCAGAAAGATGGATATGAAAAGCACATGAACTTAAATTACAAATTTAAGTGCCTCAAGTATTTAATTAAATAGAGTGTTAAGGTAATGTTTATTCTTGCAGATGTTCATACCAACGTTTAGCATTACTCTTTTTTTTAAAGAGCAATCGAGCATTTATTTCTTGCTGTAGGCAGCCAATTGGAAATAAATTACAATGATTTATTTTTGTATAATATAACTGAATAAAAGCAACACAAACCATTAAAATTAGCATTTCACAGTTGCTGGCCCTCAGTGAATCTCAGGATGCATTTCCATTATGACCTAAGTTTAATAAGAGTAGTGACCACACTGATATGGTTCAATACAGGACCCCCAGTCCCTGCCACATAAAGTATCTGTTGAATGAATGAATGAGTCAGTGAATAACTTGAGCATTACTCTCTTTTTAATAAATACTATTAGGTTGTATTACAAAATACTACCAAATATATCAACCAATTAACAAAGTCAATGCGATCACAGTGCTGGGAAGAAAAATCACTCATCTGTGGTACCTACCTTTCCATACTTACCTCTCCATTCACTTAAACACATACCCTTTCACCACTGTGTACACTGAAAGCTAAAAAAAGGGTGTCTAACGTTTATCAAGTACTATACCTACTCTGCACCATACACTGTAAGATGCTCGAAATGCATTCTTTTATTTATCACCTTTTTGTAGATGGGAGACGGTCCCTAGAGTCACAAAGCTAGAATACTCTGGGCGGCTGGATTCCAAACTTGGTGCTTTCCCACTAGGCCCTGGGGAAATCCAAGATGAGCAAGACCCTATGCCTGCTCCCAAGGAACACAGACTCCGGTGGGAAAATAAAGTCTTATTCAAGCAGCCGTACTGAAAAAGTTTAACACATGCGCTCTTCAAAAGGCGTGGACAATGAAGAATTGATTCGACCGGAATGCTGAGAGGTGCCGTCTAGGTACGAGAGCTAGAAAACAGATGCCGGCTTTTAACCGGTAAGTCGTTCGGTGACTCCTGCGGCTGAAGCCCAGGGCGAGCAAAACCAGATTCAGACTAGGGGACAACCGGACCGTCTTGCGGCAGGGAACGCTAAGCCGGGGTGTGACAGGGCTGAAGCGGCGTCCCAGAGGGTCCCCACCCGCGGGAGTGGAGTGCCGGCTGCGCCGCGGCGGCGAACGGACCACAGAAGGAAAGGGAAGCGAGAAACGTTTGGTGGTAAACTCAGATGGAAGGCCGCTGCCGCTGCCCTGCAGCAACAAAGACGGCCGAGGCAGGTCAGCGCCAGGGCCACATTCCTCTATTCCCCGGCGCCGCCAGGCTATTCTACTTACCGGGGACGCGAAGGCGCCGGGGATTGCTTTGCTCTCTGATCGCGACTCTTAAGGGGGGCGCGACCACTTAGAGACAGGCAAAAAGAGCGCAACGCGCGGCACTACAACCTTCCCGCCCCCGCTGCTCTTCCTCCTCCTGACTGACGCGCACCCTAAGGAGCGGAAGCCCCGCCTCCCGGCTGGACCCAACGCCCCACCGCCCACAGTGATTCGCACCTAACGGCTGCCTCAATGTAAGCGTCACTTCCTTTCCGAAGAGTGACAGTCGAAGAGGCTCACGGGAGATGCAGGCAGTAGCGTTGGGGGCGGGGCCCGAGGGTGGGGTGGGACCCCCAGGGCGGAGGCGGGGCGGAGCTACTAGGCAGGGGCGGGATGGAGAACAACTGGGTCCCTAGCACCGAGCTTGGGTTTTGTCAGGATTAGTTGCCAGAGAAAAGCCACCCACCGCGCTGGTCTTGCGACACTGCGAGTCCACGTAGGCTGGGCATCGGAGGCGAGTCTTCAGAGGCTGGGCTTGCTTTCAAGCCTTAACAACCATCTCGGTTTTCTCGTACACACACAACACACACAAATTCAGGGATATTTTTCGTCTACGGTGTACATAATTATATACAAGAAAGCACTAAACATAGAGAAGTCTTTACTACAATGAAGTAATCTATATTTAAGAACTGGGCGTGCCACATCTCCGAGAACCAAGACTCTACTCGTGGCATTACCTGATGCCTGATTCCAGCACAATAAATCTACACATCGCCATTAAAGGGTAACCTTACAGCCGGGTGCGGTGGCTCACGCCTGTAATCCCAACACTTTGGGAGGCGGAGGCGAAAGGATTGCCTGAGTCCAGGGGTTCCAACTTGGCAAGACCTCTACAATAAGTAAAAAAATTAGCGGGGTGTGGTGGCGCGCGCCTGTAGTTCCAGCTACCTGGAAGGCTGAGGCGAAAGGATTGCCTGCACCCAGCAGGTCGAGGCTGCGGTGGCCGTGAGCGTGCCATTACACTCCAGACTAGGCGACAGAGTGAGACTGTACTAAAAAAAAAAAAAAAAAAAAAAAAAAAAAGGTATCCTTACATTGTTGAATGTTCAAATTTCAGTTTCTTAACTTCAGAAAGATACATTTTCAAAGTACACAGACAAAAAGCACAAATTTAAGCTCTGCAAGTGCCTCAAGTATTTAATTAAATAGAATGGATAATACATTTGAACATATGTTTTTAATAATCAATGTTTGCTCAAGAGTAAGTGGTGCACAGTGTTGTTGTGTATGGATCAATGACTAAAATAATTACTTCAATACCAAGCATTTATTTACTCAGTACCAAGCACTTATTTACTCTACACCAAGCAGTTATTGAGTACCTTCTATGATGCTAGGTGCTTACGGTGCATCTTCTTTAGTCTGTCATTCCCTGATTTATATATGAAAGTCCAAAACGTTGTGTTATTTACTCTATGTCAAGTAGGAAGCTGAGAGTCAAAGCAAAAGGTCTGCCAATGCTAACGCCCATATTCTTTTTTTTCTTTTTTTAAAATTTTTAATAGAAGTCTCACTCTGTCGTCCAGGCTGGAGTGCAGTGGCACACTCATGGCCACCGCAGCCTCAACCCACTGGGCTCAGGTGATCCTTCCACCTCAGCCTTGCAAGTAGCTGGAACCACAGGTGCATGCCACCATGCCTGGCTAATTTTTTTTATTTATTGTAGAGACAATGTCTTTCCAAGTTGCCCAAGCTGATCCCGAACCCCTGGACTCAGGCAATCTTCTTGCCTCTGCCTCCCAAAGTGCTGGGATTACACGCGTTAGCCACTGCACCCGGCCTCATATTCTTAAATCTCACACATTGCCTCTGCTCTGAAGAAGAAATTCCTTCTTCAGACCAGCTCTTTCTAACTACTTTAGTCCAGATATAAAGCATAATATCTGAGGATTTTGAAGGTAGGCTAGGAGCTCTTTTCAGTTAAGAGGACTTTGTAAGTCCTAGTATGACTAAAAAGATAACAGACATCTAAATGGCTGAAACAACCTTAGGATAATTTTTTAGTTTTGTTACCTGGCTAGACAACATAAAACTGGGGCACAGAAAGTTCCAGACAAATCCCAAATGGACATTCTGAACAAAGCTTCTTTAAGGGGGGGGGGGAGATTTCTACCCCCAAAACAATATTTTGTAATTTTCTTGCAAGTTCAGCCACCCAGGGTAAGGGGACTTTATAAGGAAAAAGATAAACTTAACTTGCTGTTGATTATCTTGTCCTTTAGTTGGTGTTTAGCCCTTGAAACCCTTCTACTTTTCCAGAGAGTTTTTGAAACTTCTGCCTCCCAAGAATTTTAACACAGTGGTTAATAGTGCTTAATAGTGAATACAAATCCCAGCTTTGACGCATAATGATTGTGAGCCCTAATTTAACCTTTTGGTGCCTCAGTCCTGTCATCTATAAAATGGGAATAAAATAAATGAATGACTATATGCAAATCACTTGGAATGGCACCAGCACATAGTAAGTACTCAATAAATGTCGGCTATTAGTATTGTTATAAACAATGAAAGATCTGTGTTTTACTGGATATCTTGGTACTTGGTCATAGGTCAGCTGATAAATATATGGATTCTACATACATACTAGGGGAAAGTCCAAGACAGAAGGAGAACAATCCAGTGGCCCTATAAACTGGTAATGAATGCCAGTCTGTGAATTGCTTCATCCTGAAACCATTGTGTTTACAGACTTTCAGTGTCAAAGTAGGGAGTTCACAATAGTCCCTAATTTCCAATGGAAACCCCCCTAGTCCCCTTATGGTATTCTGTGATAAAATATTAATGGGAACGGCATTAGGCAAAACAACCTTTAAAACCAAGTGTGTAGAAGTTTGAGACAATTACTATATTTTTTATCTATTGCCATGAAACAAATCACCCCAAAACTTGGCAGTTTGTAACCATAAGCATTTATTATCTTACAGTTTCTGAGGGGCATGAATCTAGGCAGTGCAGATGGATGGTTCTGGCTTAAAATCTTTGCTGATGTTTCGGTCAAGATACTGACTAGGACTAAAGTCATTTGAAAGCTTGATTGGGTAAAAGGATCTGTTTGGGAGTGAGTGCATCCTAATGGCAGGAGGCTTCTGTTCCTCACCATGAAGGTCTTCCTATAAGGATACTCATGACATGGCAGCTCACAGACATAGCAAGTGATACAGAGCGAGAGAGAACAGCCAAGACAGAAGCCAGTGTCTTTTATAATCTAATGTTAGAGCTAGGCTCGGTGGCTCAGCCTGTAGTCCCGTGTCTTTGGGAGGCTGAGGTGAGTGGATTGCCTGAGCCCGCGGGTTCGAGACCCGCCTGGGCAACTTGGCGAGACCTCATCTCTACAATAAATCAAAAACTAGCTGGGTGTGGTAGCACGCACCTATAGTTCCAGTTACTTGGAAGGCTGAGGCGGAAGAATCGCCGGAGCCCAGCAGGTCAAGGCTGTGGTGGCTGGGAGCGGCCACTGCACTCCAATCTGGGCGACTGAGTGAGACTCCAACTCAAAAATAAATAATAATAATCTAATGTTAGAAGTGACATACCAGCCAGGCACAGTGGCTCACAACTGTAATCCCAGTACTTTGGGAGACGGAGGTAAGAGGATTACCTGAGCTCAGGGATTCAGGGATTCAAGACCAGCCTGAGCAACATGGCAAGACCTTGACTCTACAATAAATCAAAAAATCAGCTGGACATAGTGGCACATGCCTGTGGTTTCAGCTACTTGGAAGGCTGAGACACAAGGATCACCTGAGCCCAGCAGGTCAAGGCTGCGGTGGTTATGAGCATGCCACTACACTCCAGCCTGGGAGACAGATTGAGACTCTAACTCAAAAAAAAAAAAAAAGAAGTGACATAACCATGGCTCCTCCATATACTATTAGTCACACAGACCAACTCTGGTACAATGTGGAAGAAGACTACAGACTGGATATCAGGATGTGGGGTCATTGGGAACCATGGTGGAAGCTGGTTACCACAAATACGTTGCTCAAACAAAATATATTATTATTTTAGAACCTGAGACAGAAAATGAAGGGAACTCAATCTAGAGGATGTTTAGTAGAATTGCCCACTGATTAAGAAAGCATCCTATAGGCGGGCATGGTGGCTCACACCTGTAATCCTAGCACTTTGAGAGGCTGAGGTGGGAGGATTGCTTGAGCCCAGGAGTTTGAGACCAGCCTGAGCTGGTCTCTACAGAAAATTAAAAAAAAAAAAGAATTGGCCAGGCATAGTGCATGTGCCTGTAGTCCCAGCTACTCAGGAGACTGAGGCAGGAGGATTGCCTGAGCACAGGAAGTCGAGGCTGCAGTGAGCCATAATTGTGCCACCACACTCAAACCTGAGTAACACAGTGAGAGCCCAATTCACAAAAAGAGAAAATTAAAGCATCCTCTAGACTGAGATCATATGGGTTCAGATCCTGGCCCTGCCATTTAATAGGTGAACACTTAGACAAGTTTCTTAACTTCTGTGTTTTTCAATCTCTTCATCTGTGGAAAGGGATATTAAGAATAACATCATAGTGTTGTTTTTGTTTTTTAATTTTAAGTATGTGGGGTACAGGCCGGGTTCAGTGGCTCAGCCTGTAATCCTAGCATTTTGGGAGGCCAAGGCGAGTGGATTGCCTGAGTCCGTGGGTTCGAGACCTGCCCAGGCAACTTGGTGAGACCTCGTCTCTACAAAAAAAATCAAAAATTAGCTGGGTGTGGTAGCACACACGAGTAGTTCTCTCTACTTGGAAGGCTGAGGTGGAAGGATCACTGGAGCCCAGCAGGTCGACTCTGGAGTGGCCGTGAGTGTGCTACTGCACTCCATCCTGGGCGACAGAGTGAGACTCCAACTCAATCAATCAATCAATAAGTGGGATACAATTCAGGGTTAGTACAGATGTTCATTATGCAGGTACCCTTGTAAGATGAGTTATGCCCCCCCACCCCACCCCTGGCAGTTTCCCACTACTGCCAATCCCGCCCCCGCCTTCCTCTGGCAGTTTCCCACTACAGCCAATACCTTTCTTATAGTATTACAGTAGTTGTTCAAGGTCCACTTATGAGTGAGAACATGTGATGCTCGGTTCTTTGTTTCTGAGATAGATCCATAGTGTTGTTCTGAGG